CTGCCTCTGGGGCCGGAGTGGCCAGAGGGCCTTCCACTTTCTCATCCTGTGTTACACGCTGCACAAAGATGGCACCGATGAAAAACTGAAATAATTTGCTATAGCCTGTCTATTTTTCTTCCCATGACTCATGAGTTAGGATTGCGCGCTCTGGGATGCCTGCCTCTGGGGCCAGAGTGGCCATCGGGCCTTCCGCTTTCTCATCCTGAACTGCACGAGCAAGAAAACAGAACACTCATGGGGAACTGAGTGTTTGCTGTCAAGGTATGGTGAGTCCACGTACAGCCTGCCTGTGGAAGCAGAGTCGGGTCTTCTGCTTCTTTTTCCTGTACTGTGTGCTGGAAAGAAAAGGAGCACTGAAGTGTTTACTGAGAGGATGGTGAGCTATCTACCGTGGTTCTGCTTTGATGACTTGCGCACGTGTGCGGTTATTTTACAATCTTTTTCCCATTCCGCGGACAAACAGCGGTACGATTGAATTGGTGAAGATGCATTCTCATTTGCATATAGCCGGGGCCCAGCGCTTGCCCAACCCAGGAAGCATATGGATCATGATGGAGGTATGGTTCAGCTTTGGGCACTGCTTTGGGGCATAGTTCCTTGGAGCAGCGTGAATAGGCCTTTGCGAGCGACCCATCCCGTTTGGTGCATCGTCTGGAAGCAATGGGCACTGAGAGGGATTGGTTTCCTTCCCCTGGAATTGCAAAGTCTCACATACGTCACATACTGGCGATGTGCATTGTTGAGCTCATCCATAAACTGTTTCGAGAGGTTGTCAGAAGCGGCCTTCCATAAATCTATCGGCAAATCCACAACTGACAGCTTCCGGGGTCGCGTTGATCTCTTCCTGTATTCCTTCAATGCCATTTCCTCAGTAACTCGACGCTTCCTGTTCAGGGAATCCGATAAAATCTCCCACTCAGACTCTTCACTCGAAGCGCCATCAGCAGCTGCATGGTCAGTTTCAGAAGTATCACTTGCAGCAGCAGACATAGAGTCTTCATTCGAAGAACCATCAGCAGCTGCATGATGAGTTTCAGAAGCAGCAGCTGCAGCAGCAGACATAGCTACGAGGAATAACACCCTAGGAAACGGGAGCTAACCGGCTGCAGCTAAAGCTCTATTTTTTGGGCGGCGCAATCCATCAAGAAAACCATAGAAAACCTCCACGCTTCATGAGTGGAAACTTTCCAGACTGGGATGCACACCTGTGTGGGAGAAGTCGCCTTTGACTCATCGGCTTTCTCCTGGTATGCTGCACAACTTGAAAACTCTACACATAATACTATGTACATATAGTCAAAACGAAGTTGCAAAGGAGGATTGCTATAAAGAGAGTTGGTGAAGCCTACATTTTTGCGTTTTGATTTGACCCTCGCCGACGCATGAGTTTGGACCCCTCATCATGGGATGCCTGAGCTGCCCGCTGAAAAGGAAAACAAAAGAACTCATGGAAAAGCTCCCAGTTGTTTGCCCGCCACTCATGCATTTGTAGGACTTCACACTCCGGAATGCCTGCCTTTGGATCCGGACTGGCCGCCAGGCCTTTTTCTTTTTTGTTCTGTGAAGCACGCTGCAAGAAAAACATCAAGTCATGCAACACTTGAGTGCTTACTGTCAAGAACTGCTGAACCCTATGAAACTAGTGAGCATTTTTCTGTGAACAGGTAGAGTCCCTCAGCCGCTAACTCGTGAGTTAAGACCTTACACGCTGGCCTCAGGGACATCCATTGTTTCCTGCTGCGCTGGGCAATATTCAGCGAACAACTATACTTGAGAAATCCAAGCTTGGCCTAATGCGCACATGGGATTAACCAACCTCCGTTAAGACCTTGTTGACCTTGTTGACCTTGAAGGGGGGGTTGATTAATCCTATGTCGACATTACTATATTCACACTGGCACCAGATCCAATGGTTTGTCATGATGAGATGAGACTCAGCCACTCTGATGCACACCTCAGGAGGTGAAATTGTCAGGGCAGCGCCTGCCACCTTGCACGGTGGGAGCGGTGAATTTATAAGTGAAAAACTTGCCCCTTACTTGCAAAATCTTGCTTAGCCCCTTGCATCTGCTGACCCCTCAGCAGCTCGGGCAGAAGCCTGCATATTCACATGCAACATGTGTGCATGTGTAAATATGTTGAGAGAGAGGGAGAGAGACAGGCACAGAGATAATAAGAGGCTTTGCATGCGACACTCGTGAATCTCCTGCGGAACCCAAGGCAGGCGTCGCCGCTTACCATTTTTAACCTGAGTCAGAATCCAAAAGCCAATAGTATATACGTAGTCCCTAAACTGGTTTGCCAGACGCTTGTGCAAGCTGAGAAGGAAACCCTGCAAGCGACCTGTCCATCAGCCTCAGCGACAAGTCCCCATGGTGGCCGGTAGTGGATGGCAAACTCCGAGATACTGACATTTGCAGCATTCACCTGACAGAATTCCCCTATACAAGATTTACCGGAACCCTCTCAAAACAAACCACACAACCTCCTAATCTACCGCGCTCCTCAATCTCCTCGTTACATGACCGTGATATGTCATTGCACCTGCGCGTCAGAGGGTGCCCTGGCTGTAGATGTGAGCGCAGCTGCCTCGCCACATGCCACATGAGATAGGACTTGAGCCCGTGCTGGTCAAGTTGAAACAAAAACAATCCTAAGCTAGTACACTGACCCACGCAGTGATTGATCAATCGACCTGTCCATCAGCCTGTCCCCATGGCCCATCTCTGAGATACTGGCATTTGGAAGCCGTGCCTCCTGAGCTGCTGCATCCACCTGAGAAGCTGCCCATATGAGATAGGACTTAACAGCTTACCATACCTTGGAAAATCACCCAAGTTAGGTGCCATCAGACTTCTCTATATAAATCACATCTACAGGAGAACGTGGCTGTGACATGATATTGCACCTGCATGTCGGAGGGCACGCCGGCTGTAGACGTCACTGGAGCTGCCTAGTACCATGAGCTAGGCCTTTGCGCGTTTATTGTATTACGATTGAATGGGTGTGATTTTCAATGAATTGATTCTGTTTGCTGATGAACTGAATATCTCTTAAACCTCTCCTCTACTGCTTCCCCAGACTTTTCTCTATATACTATAAACTTATACATGAGTGTTTCGAACGGCCTTTGGTTATGAATGAATGTTTGAGAAGTTGTGCCTCGGAAGCGCTTTCGCTGCAAGCATCCTCCAAAAATGAAATTACACAGGCCCACCAGATAAAAACATGTATATTATATACATATAAACACCCAGCACACCAAACTCAGGCTCCTCCCACTCATCATTGATCTTGCACCAAAGTCTCAATCCGAAGGCTTCATCTGGGTCCAACCCCTGCACACACATGAACAAACACATCGCAAGGGAGCACGCCCAACAAATAGAGGGCGCACATACATATATATATATATATATACATAAACATTTATTCAGGTATATAGGCGTGAAGCATCCTGGCCTTGCTGTCATCCTGATGTGCCTCCTGAGCTGCTGCATCCACCTGAGAAGCTGCCCATATGAGATAGGACTTACTAACTTACCATACCTTGGAAAATCACCTAGGTTAAGTGCCATCAGACTTCTCTAAATCACATCTACAGGAGAACATGGCTGTGACATGCAATTGCACCTGCATGTCGGAGGGCACGCCGGCTGTAGACGTCATTGAAGCTGCCTAGTACCATGAGATAGGACTTTGCACACAATGGTCGCTGCGCAAAGATCAATTTCACACCAAGTGTAATCCAGAAGTTCCTGCCCCATCTGGGAGCCCAGCCAATGCTTGTGCATCACTGTGGTCTTTGGAATTGAGATCGGCCGACATTGTAGGCCGCAGAGCATGCAATGTACCTGGTATACCTGTTATATGTGCATAGGAATAAATTAAAAATAATATATATATATATATTATAGAATATTTTTCATACCATCATCATCGTATATCAGCATCTCACATGTAACTCCACATAATGCAAAGCATGAATGCTGCTTGCAAGCTGACCGTGGCTGCAGACAAACTCTTGCAGATCCTATCTCATGTGGTCAGCCAACCTCCAGCGAGCTTAGTGTAAAAATCCGAGTGAACGCTCCAATGTAGACAGATTTAGACATATGTTGGGCTCTTAAGTGGCCCCAGACCACATGAGATAGGAAAATTTACGGACACGTTTTTTCAATGTTTTGGGCACATGAGATGTGCCAACCTCAACCTGTGGGTGCGTTTCACTACTCTCATCTCATTTGCAAGTAGTATAGATCCCTCCCAGCACCTTCTCAGAAGCTTAGCTACTTGGAGCCCAAAGGGGCGGGGATGAATCATGATGAGTCCTAGTTCTTACATCCTAAATATCGGACACTGTGACGCCTTTGAAGACTTCGTCAAACAATACAGAGTGTGTGGACCGGTCCGATTTACGTATCCAATGGGCCTAGTGGGTGGTCTCCAACTGCTACCCAGCTCGCTCTGTGCCATGTGAATTCAAACATGTTCCTCCCAAATCTCCAATCTTGTTCATCTTAAACATTGTTGTAAAGAGGATTTCTTGTGCGCATTAGTGCGCTGTGTATGAATTTGAGTTCTTGCATGTCCTTGCCATTGAACACGGGCTTTCACCCTCATGCTTGGATGTGCTGGCTGCAGAGGTCCTACACATGTCTTGGACAGGGACAACAAACAGGTGAAATCAGGTGAACACTAGTGCCAAGAGGATTTCAGATTCCAAGCCTCACTTTCGAGTCTTTCAACACGCCGATGCCGATGATTGGAGGACCCACCGTCCGGTCCGCGAGGCCGCTTCCTGGACCACCCACCCAGCCCCGGCCAAGCTTCTTGATCACTGCTGCATCGATGTCTTTGCACATGAAGACCTGGGGGGTCTATTCGCCCACGCCACCCCAACTGGGAGCCCAAGCACGGAACAACTGGGAGCCCTCCAAATCGACCGCATTTTAGCCCGGATGAGAGAGGGCTGGAGCTCGGATGGTGATATGACTTTCGCGGGGAGTCACCCAATATGTGGGGGCATGGCCTGGACCTGTGTGGAAATGTGGTCATTGACGTTCTTTGCTGTTCATCTTGGCCCGTTTTTTCCGAATCCCGGCCTCCTTGGCATAGTGATCCAGCTGGTCCTGGGGCCAGGACCTGAGGCCAGCTCGCTTTCGGTGCATCGAAGCGCGCCGATTGGCGGTCGAAAGCGGGACTGGGACAAACCATTCGGACAGCTGCAGGGCATGGGGAAGATGGAGATTCAGAGGCCCAAGTGCGCTTGTGTATATACTTATGTGACAATGTGCACTTATTTATGCTCTGGAAGATGGAGGAAGCTGGCCAAAGTTTAGTCTTCCAAAGGTCCATTTTCAGGTTCCATGTTCATCTTCCCGGATGTAACTTCATTTACCTAGTTGCTCAGGCTGGGTGGGCCCAATTGATGGATTGTTTCTTGAGTAAACCCAACATCTCCTCTTTGTCAAACGTCAGGTTCATCAGCTAATCGGAAGACTAATCACCATGGGTCGGATCCCATGAATCCATGCTCATGCTGAGGTCTCCAGGTGAACAACTCGGTGAACAATGTGAACATACCTCTCCAACATAGCAACCTTCATGCCTCGTGGTTCGCTTTACAAGATCTATTATCCAATTGTTCCATCACCATGGTTTGTGTGTGTGGGTAGCTGTTGAATTGCGCCAAACATGTTCCGGACACTGTTGAAGCTCCGTGACCTTCTGGGGTCAGCAAACCTTACGAAACACAATTCTAGAAGAGTTTGGGATATCAAAAAGGACACACATGGGACAACATATTCTATAGTTGCTTGGCGATGACTATATTGTGACCAGAAGCTTGCCCTAGCTACCAAGGCTTGAAACATACTCTGAACCTCAAAGTAGGCTTGGGCCAAACCGACAGGACATTACGGCGAACATGTTGGACCAGCTCCGAGTTGCGGCATCTCTCTCTATCTTTTTCTTTCTTTCTGTCTTTACTTTCCCTGAGGATCGAAAGTTAGCTCTATATGCTAACATTTGGGGTTGTGTCTTCTGGGGCTCTCCGACCTCACCCTGTGAGGTCCGACCTCAAAAAACGAGATCATACCAGACCCAAAAACCACAAAACCACAGAACCCAAAAACCACAAAACCAACGATCCCAAATTCAAATTCGTCACGGGTTGTCACGCTGGAGTCCGACAATGACCTCATTTTTAAAGGGACAAAATAGACCAATCACGGTCTGTCACGGTTCGTCACGCCCTGGTATGCTTGGTTCTTGGGATTTCATGGTCTTATCCTCCGACAATGATACTGGAATTGTATATACATTTCAGGTACCCAATCTGTGATTCGACAACGTCTTCAAATAACACGATCAATAGAAACGTATGCATATCCTGAGATCATTTCTATTTGTGACCTATGTGTGGTCATGGATCGTCAGGGTTTGTCTTTATGTATTTTATCTTCTTTATGTGTGTTTCTTTTCTTTTCTTGTCTTTTCTGTTCTTTTATCTATTTATTTATATACTTATTTGTTCTTTCTTTCTTTCTTTCTTTCTTTCTTTCTCTCTCTCTCTCTCTCTTGTGCATCTCAAGAAACAACATCAAACAACCTCCCTCGTAGCACTCCCGCCCAACACACTCACCAAGCAAGTGGCTCATGGATCACCCAAACACTGGGCATCTGAAGCTCCGCGGCCATCAAAATGATGTCGCATCGCATGATCGTGTTGGCCAACACCAGGCCCACCTGACTCACCGGTCTGGTCAGGTTTGGCAAATGCCCGCAGGTGTCGTGTTGATGTTTGGATTGGGTGAGTTAGAAGCCATTCCACTTGTTGTTTAACGTGATTCTCCCCAATGGCACCCCCCAATGGCAAGTTTTTGCCAGGTGACCTATTGTGTATGGCCGCGGCGCTGTAACAGAGTTACAGGGGGGGTGGCCGGACTCAACCTATATACTCTGTGCATTAAATAGTCTAAGGGTTCAAAAAAACATTCTAAGTGCATTTAACTTAAAAAAAAAAAAACGTATTCTATCTCCTAGCAGCTCACTGTATACTTTCCGGATCTCTGTCGAACGTCTCCGGCCTTTCGCTCCCGCAAGGCCCCGCTGAGATCTTTCAGAAAGCTCGGCGCGGTCGTGTCCTTACAGCGCGGCGGTGGCGGACGCCACATCTTCGGACGGTACGGACGGTCTTTCCAATTCAAAAGCACCATCAAGTCAATCACCTTTGACTGAAAGCTCAGCCTGCTCCAAGATCTATGGAATCCATGGATTTGCCGCCCCAACAGGAAAAAAAAGGACATTCTTCATTCGGCGCGAGATTGGTTCGAACCCGCCCCCCAAATCCCATAACTTGCCTTGGCCCAAATTCTCGGCCCATCTCGGCCGGTCGAATCGACGCCACGGCACGACGATGGTCACCTCCAAACCCAACTTTTCGAAGTCTTCCTTCATGGGCCCGGCCTGGTGGAGCAGGATGAGTGACTGGACTCGCTTGCTTGCTGAAATTTGGGCGAATTACTGGGGGCCCTGGGTTCCTGAGTGGGGTTGGTTGCGGCAGGGGGCGGATGTGGGGTGGGGTGGGGGTCAAGAACGTTCATTTCGATGATTAACACTCATATGAACCCCCACGCACAAGCGATCTTGAAATTGCGCTTCACAAGCCATCCAATCAGACTTCACAAGTGAACCCCGGCCTGTCCAAAGAGGTTATTGGGGGTGGAAGAAGGTGGGGAAGGTTTGGGGCAGGATAGAACTGGGGCTGTCTATGAGGGAGCACTTGATATCAATCAACGGATTTTGTATACAGGTTTCACAGAGTGTTCAATCTTAACCATGGGAATCATGCACATAAGGTGTTTTCTTGCCTAGACATTCTTGAGTCCCCTTCATGCTTTGTTTCCGGGCGGGCCAGGGCAAGGCGTCCTCAAGGTTGGTCGCCTCACTGATCTCCCCCCTAGCCGCAGAAAGTGATCCAAGCCCTAAAAGCCGTCGATGTTTGGTCCAAGAAGCTGGTGACCAAGCAATTACTTAGTGAATCTTAGTGAATGATACAGTTACTCAAGAATTACAGGCAAAAGAAACTACAGCTCCCAATAGCTCCCACACTGCCATGGGTTTGGTGCTGGAAAAGTTCTTTGCAACCCCCTGAAGAAGTGATTTCTTTGAAACCAAGTCCATGCCTTTTTGTGTGGATGTGTCTCACAACAAGGAGACACCTTGAGTCTGCCCTGTCCAACATTCATGGGACGGAACACCAGGAAACTCATCTACTTCTCCGACAATTTGATTAGTCTGTATGTGTTTCAAACTCTCCGATTTTGCACCACACTGCCTTGGGCGAAAAAACCGTCAAAGGCTGACTCTTCTTCAGCAATCTCGCGATGTAGAGGCAGAAATTGTTCCTAGGCATTGCAGCCCAGGGTTTGTCTACAACTTCTAGGACTCCAATGTTGAAGTTGGAAGAACTATCCCCAAGAGTTGGAACCAAACGAACGGAGGGAAAACCGACCCTTTCACGGGTTCACGAGTTCCACGCGTTCCTCGGATCCGATCCTCCCAGCGAGATCCGGAACCAGTTTGGGAGCCTCATATTTGCCGACCGTCACCGGGGGTGGGTTCAGAGGTGAATGTACTGTATATAGGCATGAAACAATAGATGTGGCATATACTGTATGTGCCAATACATGGAGTGTCTGGAGTGTCTGCACCGGAAAAGAATGCATGCACCAGTCACCATTCCGGAAGCTCTATTTGAAATCCCAGCGTCGCGCCGTTCCTCTCCAAGCTGTGCGTGAAGATGGCACACACCGGGCGCGTCTCGTGAGGCAGTTCTCGCAACTCACGGGACGTGTTCGGCACATCTTCCGGTTGGAAGTTCATGTGCTGGAGCACCTGCACCAGGTCACGGGAAAGCAGTGGATGATGTCCGGGCTGCAAAGCAAAGGGCTGGTCATCAAGCTGTTTCGGGGGGGGGGGGGGGCACTCTCTGTTTCTGGGGTGTCAGGATCAAAGAACACCTACGTAGAACAAATTGGGCTGGTCAGAATGGGTGCAGCACTTCAAGTGGTTTACTCACAATAATTGGTGAAGGCGTTCAGGGAAACCTCAAACAAGGCAGAACCATACAAAACCCTCTTTGGGGGGACTCAAGCCGCCCCTTTGTGTGTGGCCCTGTCGAATAGTTGTGGCCTGTATAAAGCTGCCTCGCACTCAGTGAACCTCTCCATTTGTTGTGATTGCTCTGAGCTCACTGGTAGAAAGTTCAATACCCAGAGTAGCAGCCCAAAAAAGGCCCACATCTCTCCTGTGAAATGGAGTCCACCATGCCTCTCTCCAGTCTCTCTCTGGCCCGTGTTTCTGGTGGGGGCGCCAACATGGCGCCCAGCAGCGCCGCCAGCACACGCACCTGTAGGATGTCATCGATGGTCTCATTCTTCAAGTTGTTCTTCAAGCACACCCCCAAGAGCTGATCCGCTGCCCAGGAATCCTCCGGGCCGGAGCTGTTTTCAAAGCATTGCGGTCGGTGAACTGCGAGTTCGGCTGAGTCAGATAGTCTTTGTCTGACTACAATTCCTGAAAGAGAACATGCGCAAAAGCCTTTCCGGCAAAAAGGGGATTTCCGCCCCAGGACGGGAAGAGCCGCTCTTCCCGAAAAAGGCAAGAATTTCTGCCAAAAGGATCTTCTAGGTATACCTACCCTTAGTGTGAGGTACCTCAGTAGTTGGAGAATCCTCTTCCAAAGAAATTAGTGGAATTTGGATGCAATGACGTGCAGGAATGCCTCCTATGAAAAAACATTGGACTTTGTGTTCTCTGTTGGTTTCCCGAAGTCAACCAACATATGCCGGCCAACCTCAGAAAAATATTCAAAAAAACTGAAACCACCGGGAAAATGATACCTCATGAATATTGCCAACCTCAGGGAAAATGAAACAACGTGAAACCACCGGGGTGCCGCTTTGACCGCTCAGCTGCGGCTGAAAAAACACTGCGAGTGACTAGGCGACAAACCCAACATGTGGTGCGCGAGTGACTGTTAGTGGAACCATGTGGAACCTGCTATTGGTGGAGGAAGTGTCTCCTGCACCTGCAACTAGTGCAAACCACGGTGTATGGTGTTTTGTTGGTCAACTTGGTGGTGTAAAACATCAGTGTGTGTGTGTGTGTGAGGGGAATGTGGGGTGATCCACTTTCCATTCCATGGTGACCTTCCAAAGCATGGCATGTGCATACATGTGCCATTGCATCTTCTTTTGGGAGGGTGCTGGGCCTTACATGGGCTTGACGTCTAGCGAGTGCAATGACAAAGCAAAAATTATTCTCCAGCCAAATAACACCACTCCTGGAAGGCTAAGTCTCCGGAATGCACGCGCTCCATCTCCACCGGCGCTCGCGCCTCCAAAGCAGGATAAGGGTCATTCATTCCCTCATTCGCAAGAAAAAACACAGTGGACGGCCAATGGATCTGCGGATGCAATGTAGAATATAGTGCACTGAACTACTAGTATATCCCCAACACTCCATTGGGACTGCCATATATGCCGCCCCATTGACCCGTCTTGCACCACCCCAACTGATCGGTAAATATGACAGTCCCAAACAGGTCGTGGGTATTGGATGATCGTATGAAAACAACTCCTTCACCCCACTGGTGCGCTTCACCCCACTGGTGTGTCAGATTCTTAAAGCTCCTGTTGGCATCTGTTGGTTGTTTGCTATTGAAGATGCAACTGCTTCTGTTGAGAGATCGTCTGGGCCTTCTGCTGTCTGCCATTAAGTTGGGCAAAATCATCCAAATCTGGTCTATTCTATTCTCTGACCTCCTCCATGAAGATATCCCGCGCCTGGTTTACCTTCCCCAAGGCTCCACTTAGGGTTCGCTTCGGAGAGAATTCTGCTTCATCCAACTGCTCTGCAATGGGAGCTCCTGTGTTGGACGCAGTGTTGCCTTTTCAGCTACAGCATGCACTTTTAAGAATTAATTCTAGATATTGATTTCTACGAGCACGTGTCACCGTGAAGGAGATGGATTGTGGCAAATCCTTTACCATCACAGCTGGTTTTCCCAGGCCAGCTGGTCCGGCTGCACTTGGTTAGCAGCTATGCAGGCCATGCCACTTGGAGGATAACTGGCCATGCCACTCCAATGAACCGGATCTGGGCCTCGTTCTATGAACCGTGATCTGTTTCAGGCGATTGATGAGACCCATATCTCCCAAGCTCCTTTCTGCACGTGTCTTATAACACATGTGCATTGTGGCAACCTGAATGAGGACAAACATTAAAAAGGCTTTTGATTTCCTCACATGTTGCTCCTCATTGAAGTGAAGAAGCCACAGTGGAACATGGTGGCAGCTCGTCCCTTTAAGCATGTTTGCATCTTTTTTCACCTAGGCCCTATGCAAATCTATGCAGTAGATCTCCATGTGCATTTCTTTCATGCAAAGTATCACACCATATCACACCACAACTGGGCACAACACGTCCACTTTTCAGCCCACTTCTTCGCTTTTTCGCGGCGTTTTACACAGCTTCAGCCCTTCAGCCCTTCAGCTCCTGGTTTAAAGGCGCACTTTCCCCCAGTGACCTTCGAGGCAGCCTCGAAGGTGGGTGTCTTCTGCAGCCGCTGCATGGCATGGAGCCGCCAGGCGGCGTTCTCCAAGCGTCGGTGTTGGTCACTGTCGTCCTTGAGGACGGTAAAGACCTGGCGGAGTGACCCGGGCAGCTTCTCCCACGCCGTTCCACGCCGTTCTCCTCCACGAATTCGGGAGGGAACGGGAATTCGAAAGGAATTCACCGATTCACCGAACGTTCGGGAACTGACGAAATCTCCAGATGTCAACGTCTCTCACTACTTCTCTCATACACTTCTAGAAGGTCTTGTCCCAGTTGAGCATGCCGCAAACCAGCCGCAAAACAGCACAAACATCCTCATCTTCTCAGCCCATGGCCAACCATCCATGCTTTTCTTTGGCTGTCTCGCTACATCACTTGGGCTTCACTGTTCCAACACGGAGACGTCTCCACCATCGGCCCTTGGGCCTCCAAAAGCTGCCATTCTCCAGTTCTCCACTGAAACATTATAACATCGCTTTTTTAATAGGAATTATTATGAGGATTATCCATTTGCTTATCCATCAGCTGCCATATGAAACCATTTGCGGATTTCATGGATTTCAACATCTTTTCAACTCATCAACACTTGCCTTGCGCTGCCGGGGTCACAGCTCCACCCGACCCCGACCCTGACCGTGGTCGGTTTTCAGTGAACCCACCACCCTCTCGCCTTCCAAGAGTTCAAGAGCTCATCGGTGCTACTTTCGGTGAGCGCGTAGAGGTCAGAGGTGAAGTCTAGGTCATCCTGATCCTCATCGGGTCGGTGAGCGTGAGCGCGTGCGGTTGCGAACGGAACCGAACAGAACATGGTTGATCTGCTTGGACAGATGTCAGTCTCAACAAAACCGAAAATGGACAAGAATATGCGTTGGCTCCGATCCAGGAATTCACAACAAGACAACGTAAGTAAAACATGTGTATATAATATATATATATATTTATTTATAAAACCATTGGAAGGAATCGACATGAACCGACTATCGGCTCATCACACTTCTCCGAAGCAGTTGACATCAGCTGGCTTGTGCGACTGAAATGATGACAGCCGTATTGGAGGCATCATGAGCAAAGCCTCGAAGGAACTATGATCGCAACACCAGCCTTGGCCTCTTCAACTAATCACGGCTAGCCCTGGGAACTTCACGCCTCCACCATGGATGTGGTATGGTACCAGGCGGAATGCATCCCGAAAAGAATGGCCGCGGCCAAGGCTCCACGCCACTGTTCAACAGGTCCCTCATGGACCCAAGCTTTGCCAAAGGTGTTGCCATCCCTTTCGACATGGAAAGCAGAAAGCGTCGCAGGTGCCAAGGTATATCTTTGAGCCAGAATGCTTGTCTGCAAAGAGGAAGTGAACAGTGCTACCTTTGCTGCCCAAACTTGAGCTGAAAGGTCTAAAGGAAAAGATCCCTTCCAAAAAATATCCCAAACAATGTCTTCAGTCTTTCCTTACAATGATCTAACACTGAAGGCCCCAAAAACAAAAGCAAAAAGACACAAACAAGCACATTAAGAACCATCTGAGTCACAGCTCGGTCTAGGGAGAGGGTACTACCTCCGACCCATCGGCACCTCTGGAGCTTAGTGATGTCGCCTCGTACCAGGCGCACCTGGCAAGTTTGCCCGGCAGGGGGAGAAGTCAAAGCCAGAGCCCATGAACCCATGGAGGACGTGTCCAAACGAAGAGGAAAGTAAGTCATAGCAAATGGACAAACCCTAGTGCACCTTCTCTGGAGAATATGGGTAATATCTTGGGATATGATGTTGTTTTCTTAATTGCAAGTTTGGAACCAAACACAAACTAGTCAGAACTCTTGCGAGTTCCACACTTGAAAATGAGCATGGAGGAGCTTACATCTAAAGAATGGAACACATTCATCTACACAGTTGTCTATATATATATATGTAGATGTAGATGTATATGTATTACAAATAATATATATATAGATACATACACACAATATGTTGAATATATCACATCTCTTCTTGCAAGCCTTCTCTTGTTGTTCCGGATCTTCCGAGCCACGAGCCGCAACAAAAGGCTCCCAAACATCACATCCAAGGATCAGAATAGGTCTTGGATGGTCTGAGTCTCTGTAGGTCTTCGTTTCCTTTGAGTCAAGCCGTGACAAGGCTGTCTCTAGCTGTCGGGCTTGGGGAACCCCCTGTAGCTTGGAACGGCTTCCTGGCCAAATGGATGGACATATATTAACCACCCCGGGCTCCGCATCGCCCTCGCCACAGCTAGGTCTCTTTCCCGCCCCCGCCAGCTTCACCACCCAACCGGTACGTTCCGCCGTTCCCCGACCAGGTCCAGCAGTTGTTCGCTGAGTCGGGTGAAATAGCTCTCCACCGTGTGGTCTCAGTTGGTCGTTCGGTCACTGAAGGGGCCTGTTGCTTCATTGGGCTCCCAACATGGCACTGTCAAACAACATGAGAACAACATGCCTGTCCCATAGGAGGAACGAAACATGTCAATTACATGTGAGGTCCCCAATTGATGATGCCTGAGGGGGTGGGAATGAAAGAACATGAAAGAACCATGGACATCACATGAAATCACCACGGGCCGTTGTTGTTCAGCACCTGCACATATCATGTCGTGTCCAACCGCTATGGGCCATACAGTACTGGTCCGGTGGCCGCAATGGGAGGGCACTGGAGGGCACCGGACCTGCGTTTTCATGTCTGACTAGTTGCACTTGGTCGGATCCACCGTGGATGCTGCTTGTTTGATGCACCTGGATTCCCTCATCCTTGCATGTATTTTTTGGAACAAGCACGCGTTGTCAACGGAGATCCGTCCGGCAGTGACCATCTGCTTCTCTCTTAGGCCTCGCACTTTTAATGGCATCTTCCACTTCAGCAGTCCTTGGGAGGTCTCGCGAGGACTGCTCACTGCACGGGACAGAAACAGTACCGTTTTGGGATGACCGGACCGACCGGGCGACCGACCGTGGACCGACCGGTGGAAGCCCAGTTCCTGGGCTCCAGGCCAATGAACTTGGCTGGAGTTCAGGCAAACTTGTCCCGGATTCTGCAAGACCTCACAGATTCACCGATTCGTTCGCACCGAAGAGTGCGAAGTCTTTGATTCTTGATTGCCGACATTGGCATGAAAAGAACATCATTGGCAAACAAAATAGTTCAACAAGGCAAAACACAAATGAGTGAGGAGTGCTGGACATGAACCGCCAAAAATGACTGCCACTATGTGCCATGAAGCACTCTGACATAATAAGGGTGTTCTACATTCTGCTTCTGGCTAAGTCTGCGACCCACTCGGTGCGTGGCAGCTCTGGGTATGACTCCACCTGAGCATCCAAGATCTGCTATGTCACTTTTGACCTCACTACACCTGTCAATTGACCTTGAAGGGTCTTCAAAAATACCAGTACTGTCTGACCCAAGAAAAGTGCAACAACTCAGCAAACCCGCCTTCCTCATCGCAACCAACCTGAGTCAGCTTTTTTTCTGTCCTCTCTGGGCCCTCGCACTCCAATGCGACAAACGTTGCGCACACCAGAGATCATCTCATTTTCCACTTCCTCGGAGCACGCGACATCGGCCGCTTCACGGCACCGACGCCACACCGACGCAGCGAACCGCACGTTGTTTCACACCGAGTTAACATGAGAATGATCGCCGACTACGACATCCGGAAGGCTGGATGGCTGGATTTTGGACAAGTATATACAGGTGAGTTCCATGTCAAAGTTGGTGCATGTTTTTGACAGGGTGGGGTGAGCTGGTAAAGTCGGCAAAATCATGGGACATGTGTTGAAACAGAAATGTGTCACACACCTCGCCCAAACAGTGTGAAGGGGTTGACGGCACAGTCAGCTCCAGTCCAGCTGTGTTCTTGTCTGCTTCTTTTTTCCGCAGGCACCGCTCATGTGACTCAAGGCTTGTAAAGCCATGCCACCATGCTGGAAATTCCTGGTGTCCCACCTATGAACTTGAAGGTGACATAGAAGCCAGGGCCCAGCTTCAGGGCTCAAGGCACATCTCTATCGCCTGCGCCCGATGTCGCTGCATCTGCGCCCGATCGCTTCCTCCGTGCCAGCTCTGCACCGTGCACATTGGCGCCAGTGGGCACTGTCAGTCTGAATGACGATGGATGCGGTGGGACGATTCCAAGTTCAGACCAATGGATTGAATTCTTTGGGAGATGCAAACCACACATAAAACTTCAGGGAATAAATGGACAATCTTCCCATACATGCAAATATGCCGACCACCTGTACACCCGAAGGCTATAGCCTTTGCTCAGCTGAACCTTGTCCAAGGTCCTAATCCTATAGTCTTAGTATGTCTTAGTGGCTCCTGGTGATCTGCTGCAGCTTCTGGTAGCTAATAACTCAAGCAAATTACCTAAGCTGAAGGCAGCGGAGGCGCCACTGGCGCTTGCCACGCCGCCGCGGGGGGCGGCGCCGGCAGGGGCACTTGCAGCGCGACACGGGCGGCACCCTCAGCGGTTGGGGGAACAGGCACTTCATGGGCGTAGCCCAGGTAGGTGACTCGCAGCAGGGTGCCCGGCGCAGCGCCTATGGAGAGCTCTGCAACGTGTGAGGATGGGAGGGGTGACAAAAACAAAACAAATATCATTCCGACATCTGCAAAACCAGAACTTTGAGATGTTGATTGTAAGTATGCATATTATTCATGATATGTTAAAACATAATGTTGATGTGTGTGTGTGTGTTTGTGTGTGTGTGTGTTTGTGTTGCTGTTGCTGTTGCTGCTGTTGTTGTTGCTGCTGTTGTTAATGGTGGTGGTAGAAATGGTGGTGGTGTTTTTGTTGCTGTTCCTCTTGGCCCTGTGGTTTTCACCCGACTAGTTCAGCATCGTGATGCACATGTTCGGGCATCCAGTGCCTGGCGGCTGGTTCGAATACATGAGACCTGGCGGCCTCCATCCGGCCGCACAAAGGCCTAGCCTTGTAGCATCGAACTCATGTGTTAAAAGGCTTAAAAGGCGATTGATGGTTTGCAGCAAAGGCTGCTGTATTGCAGGGTGTTACCCGGGAGTAGCCCCAGCATTAGCTTGGAATTAGCAACCAGTCCAGCAGATAGAAAATCAATGAACATCAGAAATCATGTAGTCTTAGATATCCTAGATCATCAAACCACCCAAACCTATGGATGTCCTTTTCAGGTGCCCATCCTCCGCAGCCCCGCACCCCATCCGCAGCCCACCTTCCGGAATCGCCACGTCGACCTGACGAAACCGAGACGAGGAGGCGACTGGGAAGGGAAAGGCTCTCGGAGGGGTCGGCGAGACCCCACTTTCCAAACCTCAACTCAGACGTTCTGCGATGTTCAACAAAATCCTCAGTGGCCTCCTGCCTCCTGAGTACACGAAAGGACCATCTTTCACCAACAGCTCTCCATTTCTTGGTGTTAGAGGCGAGGAAAAAAACGCTCTACAACTCATCCATACTCATCCCACGTGCCAGCCGAAGCTGACGTGCCCTTGATCCCTACCTGGTGCAACTGGTACCCCGGAGTCGGCAGTTGGTGCTCATCTGGCTCCCAATTCTCTCGCACGGCATCGAACCTGGCTCGGTTTCTTTGGGACTGGGAAAGGACTGGGAAACTGGCCACGGCCAGGATGTCTTTGTATGCCTAAATTTTGTGTGTTGATTTTTGTTTCTGCAGCGTTGTGTACGTTGATTTGTCTTCTCCACCAGCACTCAAAAGTATAGCAACAACACGCAAAAATTCATGTAGCACAAAGGCAAGGGCTTGGCTCTAAGATGAGGGATCCCAACAACAGTTCGATCTAATTCATCCTTGCTTTGTTTAGGTCCGTGGGTCCCCATGTTCTTCACAACTTGCCAATCTCATCTGTTGAAAACAGTCTTCCGCGGTGTCCAGTCTTGCCGCTACATACAAGTGACATTTGGTGACTCTCTCAATCCCAAGAGCCCAGCGGAGCTCACAGTAAGATTGATGCTTTTGTTGCTGGCACCCGACGCGTCATGCACCCAAAACATGAGAAAAAGGCAAAAAAAAAAAACATCTAACCTCCAAAACGTCCCGTTCACTTCACGCAATGCTTATTATGCTTAAGGTGCTGTCCGAACCAAGCAACTTCCGCCTTTTTCGTCCTTGTTCTGCCAAGGTGCATGAGTTGCTGGAAGGCCTGGAAATCTTCGCCGGCCGTGAGACCTGCCCAAAGCCGTTGGAAGCCAGGATCCTCGCCGTAGACCTCGCAGCAGGCACCCAAGTAGTCCTCGCGGCGTAGTCCCGACCCTTTTGGGCGGCCACTCTTGAATACGAAACCAAACAGGTTCACCACTTGGCGATGGCTTGGAGCGAAATGATATGAAGAAGGGACTCTAGTTAACGTGTGGCGTGGCTCTGCGGCGTGGCGATTTCGGTGGAAGAACAGTTACATGTGCTGTTTTTTGCGGCAATACATGCGCGGCCGCAGCAATACATGCGGTCACCAACGTTGAGAAGATCACCCGAAATCGCTCATAAGTGCTGATAGGGAAATTGATGGAAATTGGACAACGACAGCAAAAAAAACAGAGCTGTTTTGATTGTTTTGTGTGTTGGGGGTTGGCAAGAAAATCTTTGGGACGCTGTGTGCCAACAGTCAACAGTTACTTATAAAGGGTGTGTTTGCAAGTTCTTGACCACAACAATCTGTATCTTCGCGATGGTTCCTCTAGCATGGATTAAATGGACTATCTTTGACCAAGCGTGCATTTGCTGATGACGCTCCCTTTTGCCCTCGCCATTGCTCGGGTCTTTGAGATTTCCTGGTTGGCTTCCTTCCCTGGCTTGGCCATGGAAGCCACGTGCTCGCACGAGCCTCGCCGGCTCGCGCTCTCTCCAAACGGCCTCATTGGAGCCGCTCACCCTTCGAACCTCCAATTCAACGCTACCTGGATCCCACCAAACATTCTTTGGGGGGATGTCGGTGTGGAAACAAGCATGAATGACCGAGTCGTTTGCCCCAAATACGGTCATTTCAAATTGTATGTAATATGCAATTATATCTTCTGCACAGGAATGAAAGGAGGTCAAAGGGCAACCAAAATGGGTCAAACAGTCAAACATGATCGTCGGGCACCTGAGGAACCCCTACCTACGCTGCGGAACCGCTGATGAACACCTCGAGCGGAACTAGTCTTGGTAGGGACATGCCTTCACAAGCTCCTTCCCTCCAGCAAACAAGCATGGACACTCATGTGTGAGGATGAGCTCACGCTCCACATGTCTGAGGGATAGTCCTTTTGGACACTTATGTTTGCTGAAGAGGGGATCCCTTTTCCCCAAGACTCTCAAAACGATTCTTGTAGCCCAGAGATGGACAAATCCCATCAGCGTCATTTGCGTTTGCAATGGACAGTTCCGCCCCGAGGCCGTCCGCATCCGACAGGTTGGCAGGATCAAACCTGGCCCAAAGATTCACTGAGATCCTTTCCGCCAATGCGAACCTCAGTTGCCCACAGCGAGTCTGGACGAGAAAGGGCTAGTAGTAGCTGCCACATCCCATTGACCGAAGAAACAAACGGCCTTCCTCCTTGAAACACCCAGGCTACATTATGTTTCCATAGATGTTCCCTATCAATTTCCATAATTGGTATATACAGACCCATATAGACCTCAAATACCACCCCAAAAATCACTCCAAAATACTCCAAATATATAGCAAAGTAGATCCCCACTAAGAATGTATTGGAAACCGTGCCTCTATCTTATGGGGATCACTACTGGGATCACTATAATTGGCGTACTTGCGCGCTTGCTGTTCCGGGCACCAAGCGGTGGTGTAACGAACGTGTCCCCTTCGCACGAACGAGACGAAACGCCCCGAACGACTGCCTGTTCCGTCCGAACCTTAAGGAGCATTGATGGTTGTTGCAAAAATACACCCGCGATGGCTTCGAGTCCTGACCCTGGCAATGTTCCTTAAGAATCCTTAAGAGACCCTTCAAAAGTGACCTCTTTGGAGTCTCTAAGTGACTAAGCTTAAGTGACCTCATTCTGGAATTCTGGGATCTCAAAAGGTCACTTTGAAGGTCCTGGTGCTCATGGCCTCAAATAGATCACGTGAACCATCATGAACCCATGGTGACTCTCCCCCCAAACCTCACTGGAGTGCATAGGCTATCCATTGAACAAATGCACGGAAAATGCACAAATTGAACTAGGTTGGGCCCACACAGCTCGTTATGTGCACTCGAAATCAACGCTTCTGCTTAGAGGGAGCGGACCGTCGGACCGTCGGATCACTGGAACAGCGTGATCTGTCCTGTTCTGGAACAGCGTGGTTTGAGAACTGTGGCTCTATGAGAACTTGGGCCATTTGGTTGGATCAACCATGAAATCGTCAAAGCCTGGCCCCCAAAACAACCCCCCCCCACATCCTGCTTTGCACAACTGTAACACCTCCCAAACCCCTCCAAAGGCAAGTGGAGCATGGTAGAGCCTTCGTGTGTGTGCGCCCCGCGGCATGAGAAAGGCCGGTCTGGTGGAGGAAAAAGAAGTCGCCATGAAAACGTCATACCATCAGCTGAGGGACAAGCTCATTAGGGTAGCGTGGAAAACACATCGCAAGAGCAAGTCCCGAGGCAAAGTGCTTGAGAAGCCATGCCAATGCCCATCGTTGCCCCAGACCAAGTAGGTGCTTGACAAGAAGAGCCAACCTTGGATAATCACCGGTAAAATGTCACCCCTCCCCTGATCGCCCCCCCTCCAAAATAGAGCAATTCTTCCAAAATCACGCCCTACTAGACCTTATTAAGCCCTATTAGTGCTTATGTTCCAAAATCCAAAAATAAGCCTGGAGTAGCTCCAAATAAGAGTTATTCTACATTGACACCGAAAATAAAATATTTTGGGGGGCTTTGCATGTCCACACAAATGTTTATTTACTATTCAATGTGAATTGGATTGATGGATCAGCCATGACTCTGGGGGGGTCGTTGAGGTGCCATGACTCTGCCTCCAAAGCATATGGCATATTGCATTGGTGGAAGCACCAAAATCGTAGCTGGAACACGTTTTTCTGCACAGGCGCAGGTCCGTAGACTAGACCCCCATGAAGAATAAGTTGAACATACGCCTTAATAAGGCTTACTAAGGCCTTATTAAGCCCTGTTAAGCCTTAACAAGGATAATTTTTGGGCACTGTGTGCGACCCACCAAAATAGCAGATGTAGCAAATTGCAATTGAACGAAATCGCCAACAATGACAAGTGAAGCATTCCGTCTTGGTGCACATGTAAACGGTACTAGTTGCGCAGTGCACTTAATTTGAGGCAAAACTGCTCATTGTTCTGCAATCAAGGGGTGTTTTTCGAAAAAAGAAACCAATTACATCTTGAACTTCATTGGACACTGCGATCATAATTCAAACAACTTCCTTGCACATGCTTTGCATCAATAGGAAGCAAATCGCATAGTTTTCACCATTCGGGCAGCAATGCTTATTTATCAGAGGGGGTTCAGGGGAGGGCCCTGAGTTTATCGGTGAGATAAGGGAACATGCCCATGTATATACACATACAGTAATATATTTCTGTATACATGTATCAATGTGTGGTAGGTCCTGTGGACTAGACATGACTCTTGACAAAAGGGGGGAGGGTGAAAGGCTGGTAGGCGGTGTAGCAGTGGCAGCAAAAGCAAACCACCAGTAGAGAAGCCAGCGGCAACAGCAGCAAACGAGGAGCAAACGAGGAGCAAACCAGCAACAAACCAGCAGCAGCAATGCAGCAAAGCAGCAGCAGAAGATCAGCGCGCAACACCAGCAGCAAGTATGAGAATGAGGTCCAGCAAAAGAATGGCCAGCAGCAAAAGTCCGTCACAGGAGGAACACGGGTGGGAACACGCATGAAAGAGAGAATGAGGACGAGGATGAAGCTCAGCACTGAGGAACACACCATGCGACTCATGATGGATCACACCAAACTCAATCCTCCCCCTCTAAAGTTTACCCTCGCGTGGCTCGGTCAAGGTCTGCTCTTTAAAAGGCTCTTTCCTCCTCTATATCAATGTTATCCTTCAGTGCCTCACCAAAGGTCTGCTACCTTGAAATGGCTCACAAAAGGTCTGCTACCTTGCAAGGAGGATACTTTGTAAGAACAAGTGGGTAAAGGTGAGTTGCATGAAGTAGAGAAGTACATGAAGTGGACAAGCTCGATATAAATCCAATCACACCAGGCTACGTCATAATTGTATAAAAGGCACTTGACTCACAACACACCAGGCTACGTCATAATTATATAAAAGGAACTTGACTCACAACACACACGCACACATCAGGTAATTTGGGAGGACCCCCCTCCTAATCTAAAACTAGTTGAACTATATATTGAACTCAGGTTCTGTGAGGCAACAGGCAACCTTCTCGGTGTGTCGAGTTCTAGGAAGGGATTTCCATGAATACGAAAATGTCACCTTCAGCGCATTCCAGGGCACACAGCGGCCACTTCTCCAAGTACCCTGCCTGTTGGTATTCCAGGTCAATCACCGCAAATGTATAGAGTTGATTGAGGGGCGCGCTGAGTATCGATGTGACCGAGGAAGCCAATAAGTCCGCCATAAAGGTCACCATCCCCTTGGGCATCGGCAAACTAAGCTGGTCAATTCCCCACAGCAAAGCCCTTTCGAAGGGCTCGCTCAGCAGTCGGATCCCACTCATCGCGACGGCATTCCTCAACGTCATGATCACCACACCCGGCCCATAGGGGCAAAGCACCTGACGAGCAAAACGCGGAAAAACCAAGCTCCAACAACCGGGTTTGGTGGAGCCGTCGCCACAGTTTATCCAACCCAACTTATAATACTTATAGTGACCAAACAGGACATGAATTGCACCCCTAGAACTTCACGACCATGTTCACCTGTCACGGAATTCTCGTCGCCTCGGCAACCGAAACACCCGTTGCCTCGGCCATGGAGGTACTTCTGTGCCCCCAAACCGCCATCTGCGCTGTGACGGTTTGCGGCCCATACGTCACAAGTGACTCGACCATCGAAGAGAAAACCACGGCCATGACTCCTCCAACACGTTCCTTCCAGAAATGATACAAAGGGCCAAGCACGATGAACATGGGACCTGCGACAGATCACCGATTTTTGTGAGCAGCACAACGTTGCGCATGTGTTGAGGCGCAGTTCCACGTGTATCACGTGTTCGACAACATCGACACCCAACAAAATTATCTTGCCCTGCATAGCAGTGCACAATCAACCTCAGGACCAGGAAAGAACAAAAAACACAATGGATGTGCGAATCCTTTTCCTTCCGACCAGGGACTGCTGGTGAGGAGGTTGATCGTCGCTCCGGTCCAAGCTGTAGCTGGGCCCTGCTGCCAGATCGAACTGTAGATCTGCCAGGCCGTCGCGTGGGGCTGTTGGCTCGCCAACGAGAGGGCGGTGCGTAGAGGCGTGACCAGGCACATGCACAAGGGCCTGGGTTGAACGGGGAGGGTTAAGCCCAAGCAGTTCTTCCAGGTGGTGGGCCAGCGGCATTGAGGTCCTTTTGGTGATTGGTGAAGGCCATCCGTAGCCCGTTGTGGGGGTTTCAAACACGACATTGACATGTACAAACAGCTTGAAACCTTTAACAAGCATGCGTGATGTGAGTGATGTGTGGTTGGACTTCTGGAGGAAGTACGCCCCCGTGGTGCTCAAAGTGACTTCAGGGGTGACCAGTGACCAGTGGTCAAACCAACTGCCAACTACATCAACTCCCTAACAAAAAGTGAGTTGCACTCCAGCTCCCCACGACAAAACCAGCTCTAATCGTTGTCAACTTGCTTGAAAAACCATCACCTAATCATCGCCCAATCACTAATCCAACCAATTTTTCCCATGTGACGTTTTGTGGGTCCCATCACTCATCTCCTTGCTCCACCTGATCTCCGAGTGTCCCACCAATCGCCCCAGCCACCAACAAGGGCGGCTCTGGCAGCTTGAGCCCCCTGGGACGCCGCCGCCCGCAGCGCCGCCCACAGCGGCTGCGCGAAGACGGCGCCATGGAGGCTTTTCCGCCCACAGCGCACGCCCGGGGAGCCGCCGAAAAGCTGTTTCCTTTTTTCCGGTGGAGCGAAGGCACAGCTACTTGGAGCTGTAGCTATATTCCGATATACTTTCAGATACTGGGTGTTCATGGTTCAGTGGTTTTTTGCGCGATCTTAGAGCTTCAGTGACACCCAAAGCTACAGTATTGACAACCAAACCAAAAAAGGCTACCTCGAACAAGGGGTCTGGCCATGCATGGTGAATCATTCTTCTTGATGTTAGGAACCTTGCAGACTTACAGCGACCCGGAGAACTACCCTGTGGAGAACAATTTTCCCCTACAACCATGTTACCTTGAGGTTCTCCACACCTCACCTCACCTCACCTCCCGCAACGGTCCATGAAGCTGGTCGCTTCTGCATCGCAGTCGTCCAAGATCTTCAGCAGTCGTTTCCTGGGATTTGCCGCGACAACTGCTACCGGGACAAGAAGTGGATTGAAATATCCCCGGATTAGGGGATTCCCATGGACTCACCCAAGAGGGAGAAAAAGAAACACATCACCATAGGGTGGGCAAAAACACCAAGTGTCTCATAGATCTGCTTGTACTTCCGATGTGTGGTCACCCAATGCATGGGGCAGCTGCCATCCGGCAAAGCCACCGCAAACCTCGGTGCTGGGGCCGCAACAAAAGGCCCACACCATGAAAACCATGTCCAAACCGGATGCCGGTTTAAGGCACTCGTGCAGAATTCTCGCACTCACACTGAGTAGAAAGAATCTCTGCAATCCTCTGCGTATAAATAGATACTGAACTGCATTTGCGTATCTACATGATCGAAGCACCCTTTTTTGGCTCACGGGAATTCATTGGATGTGAACTCCTGAAGAGTCTAAGCGCGCTGATGTTTTTGCAAATGGAGACTCGTCTCATTCCATCTTAACAGCGATAATCCGTCTTGTCGTCAACGTCATGCACAGGTAGCTAATCATCTATATAAGTGTGCCACTAAGTGTGCCCACTACATACCAAGGCGCTCTTCGAAATGGGTGAGGATAAAGGATTCGACCTCTGCTTGAAACTTCTCTTCATGGAACTGCTCAAACACCAATTCCGCCACGGCGTCCATGGTCATCTTCGATTCATCCCCCATGGCGGGAGACTCGTGGCGCACGTCCGGATGCCCTACGCGGGGGGGGGGTGGTTGTTGAAGTATTGTCGAAGTGCTGCTCCACTGGCGTTCCTCATTTGAGCAAAAACACAACACTCCTCCCAATCTAAGGGTCTTTCCATTACGTTCATGATCAGCCTGCAGGATGCACAGGGTCTTTCCATTGTCGAAGTCATGGACAAGCCTCTTTCAGCTCATTCGGGTCCCGAGGGACCAGTGATTTACACATTGGATTTCTCACAGGTTGATTCCCCATGTCCACACAATTTATGCCTCCTCGACCAGGTCGACACAGGAGTACCTCTCTCAAATCTTGTTTGGTTGGAAGTTGGAATTGGTCACAGGGAGCTTCAGATTTATCCTTTGACCCTCCGCCCTATCAAAACACTTAGCTGCAAAGCTTTTGGCATGACAAGTAAGCGTCTGGCTCAAAGCCGGGAAGGCACAACAAGTTACAAAAAGAGGGTGTTCCACTGGGTGTGCCTTGGGCCTTCTGCAGTCCCCTCTACCATGTTTAAGAAGTCACCTGGGTGGTGCCGGATTCCTCCTAAAGCTGCACACATTAATATGCTGCTTGATCCGTGTGTTTGCATGGGGTAAAACATCCTGAGCCTCTAAACTGCAGTGGCCCAGGCTCCCACGTGCCAAATCGTGTCAAGCTACGTAGGCTCGAGTCCAGAGCTGGTGCATGTTCTTCAAGCAGCGGCACCCCGCACTCCCTTGTTGAAGGTGAGCAAAGCTGCTACATTCGGCGGTGTCAGTTCCTTCTAGAGAGCAATTCTGCCCTGCCCCTCCTGAGAAACCCAAAGCCCAAGGTTTCTTCCCTATCTCTCCATCTCTGAGTCTGGCAAATGCGTGTGCAAGATTGCGCGGCGCAAGTGAACATCATACAATAAAACAAGTCCATCCTGTCTGCACATCCACAGCGAGTATTGCACTCGACCTCACATCTGCTCAATCTCCCGCCAGTGACCACAGGTGCCCCAGCGGTCATCCAGGTCTCCACATTCTTGTCTTTCGTGGAGACTGGGTTCACCTCGCGCCCGCGCGCTCAACAAATACAAACGCTTGTGGCGACCAGTGACCAGCAGGAACAAGGGTGCCCATGTTGACATACTTTGTGCCAAAGAAAGCAGCAATTAAACAAGGATAGACAAATATATTTTCTCGTGAATGGACAGTTATTCATGTAAAGCAAACTCATTCTGTGGTGACCACTCGCCCACTCGCGTCGTCACCCTCCCTCCTCCAAATCCACATGACTGGGACGCTCAAGCTCTAGAAGCAGTGTCCTCTCAGTGCTTTTTGCCGGACTTCGACTTCGTGGTCTCGGAACGTGAGCAGCTCCCTGCCAGTTTCCAGTCCAAAGCCCCAAGCGTTTGTCAAAGGACCACACCAACACGGACCCCAAACGGCGTTTTTCACCCGTTCCGCCCCTCTTCGTCGTTCTTCCGTCTCTCTGGGGTGGCCCACGAAATCAATGATTTCCCCCTCTTTGGAGTGCATCCTCGGAGCGGCTGCCACGGGCGGTTTCGGCCATAGCTGGGCCATCCATGGCCGTGACTACTGACGTGACTTGAAAAAATCTTGAAAATGGGAGACCTGGATACCATCTTCGAACACGGGCCATGGGTTTTTAGCCAAGTGATGCAAAGAAAGAACACACAGATTGAAAAAAAAAATCCAGCGCCGGCACCGCCAGGGAACTGCATGATTATCATTGATTTCTCACTCAATGTCAATCAAGTGTGGATCAAAATCCTCCCATTATAGCTATACATATACCCTCAAACATTGCAAGTGTTTCATAAAACATCATAAAAACACGTGAGCCAAAGAATGTTCAGTGTTCCCATCTCTTTCGATCCTGACTGTTCGATTCAGGGTCTTCCCATGTATTCCACCACGGAGCACCTTTAACATGTTAATCATGTTTGAAGGCTAGGGAAGGGACCATGCCTTTCTCTTTTTTCACTCCTTACCATCCGCTCCGTACCACCAACAGAAGCCTCTGTGACCTGCCAGGCGTCTGTGTAGCGACCAAAGAGTCAGTGAAGGTCAGCTTCTTCATCGCCTGCGGAGCGACTGGCGGGCCCCTGAAGGGGCCCGGCTGGGCACTGGAATGGATGTCTACATGGACCCCGGGCCACACACCCCTGCCAGTTCCAGTGTAGGTAAATAAGCCACAACAATCCATAACATGGAGTGTGAACTGGAGCTGTTGATCAAGTGGAAAAGCCACGACTGTCTGATGGTCTGCGTCGAACACGGGCAAACGGATTTGTACAAAGACCGGTGGAATGTGAGGGAGGGACTGGGAGGTCATGTACTGAGTCCGGGTCTCAGCCATTTTTTACTGACATGGCTGGCTGCGGGTCAAAACCGGGATGCCTTTGTTGACCCAAGAGAAAAATGGACCTTCAATATCCTTCAATCAACCTTTGTGTTCACTCAACAGGACCAAGTGTGTTGAAAAAGACTTGGTGGATTGTCGCTGTGGATTTTTGTTGGAGGGGCACCGGCGCGGCGCGCCACTGGCTGGTTGCCCAAAAAGATCTGAGGGAAACCTCGAACGCTCAGAGAGGACTCATCAACATTCAGCAACAACTCCGCCTCGAAGACCTTTGACAGGAAGGGCTGCACACGCAAGGGGTCCTGCACAGAAAAGGCCGCAGCACAGTCGGAGCTCTTTCCGCCACAAGCACACCCAAAAATTGGGAGCCGAATCTCACAGCCAGCCTAGGGTGGCCTTGGGTGCTGCGATAAGGTTGCACACCTTGGGAATCAACATATTTGAGTGTTGGCAGTGTCGGCGACCCTGCCATGGCTCGTTGTTGATTGCACTTTCAGGGCAGGACGATGCAGGACTTTCAGGGCAGGATGATGACATGCCTCATGCCTCGGGCCTAACTAGCATACCAGCATCTCAGGCTGTTGCTGAATTGGACGAAGTCCTTCCAGTGTATCCCCCAAACCGGTTCACTGGAGAGAAACAAGTCTTGCTTAAACTTCGACAAAATACCTGTATCTGTATCCATCTACTAAGAATGATATCTTTTTCAATGGCGGCTCACCTCTTTCATCCGAACGAATCATATCCTGGCCGCTGAAGCTTTCATCCATCATCCAGGCGACTCCCGGTGGCCCACCTTGGTCTGGGAAAGGATCTCCAAAAGCTCGTCATTGGAGAGGAAGTAAAACCGCGCGAAGGCAGCACACCTCAAGCAAACCCAAAAAGGATATATGTTTATCATTAGTTGTTTTATCTACATTGTAATATCTGCATTGTAATAATAATGGATAATAATGGCATACAGTGGTGCATTCTATATTCCATAATGTTGACATAGGATTGAGTAACCACCCCCTATTAATCAATCCCAGCTCGACCCCCCCAATACTAAACTAATTGAACACCTAGATTTCCACCTTGGCATTCCCCCTATATACTGTAATATTTTTTCCTGGGCAGAAACTTCCCCCTATTAATCAACCCCAGCTGTCCCAGAAAAACAAAACATCCTTTACTATTTAAATATAGTTAGTTTATATTGCGTTCTGTTTAGCTAGTCTCCAATATCTTCTGGTCCATGGTGAAACTGATCTTCCGATCCACCCTTGTCTCATGCCATCTCTTTGAGAGATAGCATTGGTGTTTTCATCTCGTCATCTTCCTGATTCTCACCACCACCTCTCAACTGCCTACCAACCATCCCCGAAAACCCCAAAAACTGTCTAGCAAATGTCTTTCATGTTCCCCTTTTAAAACTCTATCAACATCTTAACTTTTTCAAGCTCACAAAGGGTACCCCTCACACAGGCCCACCTCCCCCCAATAGTAAGACCCCATCCCCCTATTGATCAATCCCACCCTCTGGCCTCATTCTTGTTTTCCAATGCTATCACCAAATGGTTCAAACTCTCATCTCCTCATGCCCCATACACTCAACCATCATCCATCATCAGCTCATCACCTTTATTAGGGGGGTGTCCTCCTCAATACCTCAAATCTCAAACCTTGTTGACCTTGAAGGGGGGGGAGCGTGTATTCATCCTACGTCGAGATTATATACCTATATCATCCCATATCATATATCTATAATTATAGAAAAATGCAAACAACATCACATCACCCATTTCCAATTCAGATCTGCCCCTATTGACAACATTGGCAACCCAATTCTTGTTGTATCTCTACCACTCGTTTAACCGTGACAGTGCAGGTGACCATTGAAGTCAAATATAACATCCGTGCACACTTCCCTCAGAGCACTTGCTTAGAATCCCAACATGTTGAAATTATCATATTCAAATATTTCTCCCCTGTCTCCACCCTTCCTCCCCTGTCTGGCTCAGCCCCAGGAGCTTCGTGGCCAAATAATCGTCCAAGCCTTTTTGGACCTGGGCTGAAACCACCGGTGGTGGCAATCCTTGCACCATGTCATCCTTCCCCTCGTGGAGCAGAGTAGACATGGAAGACTCCACTTCTTGGAATTGCTGATTCCCACGAACTGGGGGACAAAGTCAAACAAATTCCGCCAGAAAGGACACATTCACCATGATTCACCCGGCTCACCATGTCTGACACACCCATTAGTAATTAATTAACTAAACTAGTAACACACCCGATCCACAAGACCAAGTCTTTGGTGCTGTGCCTCACACAACTTTGTGGTGCGCCTCATGAGTTGCATTAGAACCTCTTCCAACACAGTGGTGGCATGCGCTACAACAAAACGCTGCAGCGAACTTGGACGCACACCTGGAGTGGTGTGGGAAGGTGTGGCGGGAGTGTTTCTGGGTTCCACTGCATTGATAATAGGTCAAGGTTGATTGATGGCTACAAGATGCTACAAGTGTCCGCAGTCACGTTGGTTAAACCAACATTGCTTGACCTTACGAATGCCGGGTTCATAAACACCTCTCCTAGAACTTTCTCGTCAACGTTCATCAACAACCATACAGGCCAACCAATGTAGGGATTCCGGAATTCCAAACCCTTGTACGATCTTGTATATATGTAAATAGGTCCACTTAATCTAAACTGCAAAAGTGACATCAATCTCAGTGCTATTCCATTTCTCTCCAGTGTTGGCCGAGGAGCCATATCCAAATCCTTGTTCACCACTTGCCACTGCTGCAGCAAGCCTTCCTGGAGCCAACGAAACAAATCACTGTTTCCTCTGCATCTCGGTCAAAGGGCGCGAAATGACTTTGGATGACTTTTTTCTGTTTCCCTGGAACACAATTCAGCTTATACACCTTCTTAGCTTCACTGCCTATGAAAGGCCGTGACGGACAGGGACCGCAAGTCGCGCTATACACCTCCTTAGGGTTTAGGGTTTTAACCTTCTTTATCCTTTTTATCTGTTAAGTGGGGCGACCCGATCCCCCAGGTCCACGGCGCTTCCGAAGAACCGGGTCGCTTTCGGACTCTTGGACCGGTTAACCGAACACCCCCGGGCTGCGGCCCATCACTACTTGCATCTGATCCACTTATATAGAACTCATGTCGGATGGATCTAAAGACACCACTCTACCCTAGGGCTCCAACCACCTCCTGAGATGATGGTTCAGGTGGGATTGGGAAGTCTAGCCCTAGGGCTAGAACCTAACAACTCCGTTTTGTGAACTGCATTCCTTCAGGACAGGTCTGCTCCTGTGTACATTGCGTGAGCGCGTGGCCATTGGCATGGACACGGCCTGGGTGAGTTCGACAAGTCCCCCCAGCCAACGTGGTGGTTTGAGAGTACATATGCCCTTGCACTACTGCAATGCTTTGGGTCTGTCCCATTACCAGTAACAGTGGATTGATGGTTAGTAAAGGCCTTGCTCAAAAACAGTGATAGTTGCTTACTGACTGCTACAGGTAATGATGGTAATACTGACTTGTCATCTGCGTGTGTGACCCTCTTTGGCTGGGTGTTAGATAACTCGGCCGCGGGCTCATGGTTTGCCGCCATTTTCCTCAGCGTGGTAAACGCACCGTGACTACTACGGTGGTGATTGAATCGATCGCAGTCCGGCGAACATGATATTCTTTTTAGGCATGGCGTTCAATCAAACAAAAGGCAAACCATGTATAGACTGTTGATCAACAAAACTCGCGACATGGAGAGAGCAAGCTTTTCTGGGTAGGCTTTGCTTCATCGACAGTCTACATCTAAACATATGCTGACAAATTATGAGAAATTCTTGTCCACCGACACCTGCACCAATCCGGAATGATCCTAATTTTAAACCATTGAAAGCACACATTTGTCATCATGTCAATGTGATGAGATTGATGTGCATCGATTGCCCGACCTATGAGATTCCAAAGCTCTCTTTGAGGTCTCATTGTTTCTCACTCACTAGGTGGCTAGCCATCTACGACCTTAAACTTTTTGCCCTCTGTCGGCAGCTGCTTCATGATGTCAGGCCTTGGTACGGACTCAGCTGGTGCGGCCAGCCATGGAATGAAACGAAAGAAGAGTCCAGCAGTTCCATGGAGTTGGGTGTATCCCGAAGTCGGGGTGCCCAATGTCCACTCACATCGGAGCTAAAGGTGTCCAGAAGTCGGGGTCACTGCGAAAGGTGTAGGTGTAGGTCCATACTGGTGCGAACACGTCGGACGGTCCACTCACATATCGGAGCTGTAAGTGCGCTGCGAATCGAAGATCGGCTGCAAGTACATCCAGGCCTTGCACAGCCGTCCAAAACGTCCAGACTCGTCGACGAGCGGTCAGAAGTGGTGTAGTTCTTATGCAGATATGAAGAACTACAATGTGTAAGAAGTGTTGTATGATATAATGGTAGTCCTGTTACTACATATAATTCAAATATGAATGGCAACAGGATCCCGCAGCGGTGTATCGGGTCTGTCACCCATCGACCGAAGCACCGTGTCCGAAGCGGCCGCCCGGGAGACTGTCGATCATCCAATGATGGTGTCACGTGTTGTACCATCAATGGAGACCATCATGCATAACAACAGGTCTGTTGTTCTGAATATAGTTACATCATGCTACATCAAAGACCACTGACAACTGCCAAGTCGCCAAGTACTGCCATCCCATGACATACCGCATCTCTGGGAGACTTAACTCAATCACCACGACCTGATCGCTCTGAGGCCAGGGGCTCGTTGGACTTTCAGCCATTGATCCAAGCCTCGCTTTCGGGCCAAGCGGAGCGCCAGCGGGCTGCCGGCGTGCCAGCGGGCTGCCGGGGAAGCTGTTGTGAGATCCAGCATCCCTGCGTCCAAAAACGTGTCCAATCTTCATCAGCTGGGGCCCCTGTCGGTTTGCAAACAACGGGGTGACATGTCGGTCTCCAAACTGAATATTACGGGTGGAACCCTGCGCAGGACAGGACCTGTTGGTGGATTCACGGCCGGACAAGACTCCATCGGATGTGCTGGGGTATATGATGAGGGCCGGACGGTGGCTCTAAGAAGCCCAACATGTGAGTTGACGTTCAGTTAAGAAGTATCCAACCAAAACTGGGACATGGGATCTATATATAATGATCTAGATATACACAAGAGGCACTTCTTTCGAGAATCACGTCTGTTTTTTCTTCGGACACGAGCCCAAACCGCACTCTGAGGTACCCCGGCACTCTGACACATACATGAGCTTCTCGTTCCACTCGTCGATCTCCTGCCAAGTCAGTTGCTGCAACCGTCTCAGCTATTGGGCTTCGAAATGCGGCGCCTTGCCTTTAGGTGCCTATATAAAGGCGCCTTTCGGTGTCAAGCAATCTCAAGCACATACAGTGAGTTCCAGGAAACCAAAAGACATGCAAAGAAAATGATGAACACATTGATGACCTCAACTGGTTGAAATCCATATCTGCATATCTGGGTCATGCCTCTTGCTCCAAGATTAGCCAAGGTCAAGTCTACTGCAGGACCATCAGCACATGCAGAACTCGGCACCAGCCAAAATGTTTTGGCATTCCCACTGGCATTCCCGTATCTCCTCTTTGAAGGGCTTGTTGAAGGGCGAAAACCTGAACGATCAGCAGCTGAGGACGTTGTTTTGAGATGTTTTGAGTGCCCTTATGCGTTCAATACCCACCAGGAGGGCCAAGAGATTGGATAGAGGTCGGTGCTTGAAGCATCATGGTAATGACGACTCGTCGGAATACGCATCATTAATCATCAGTAATACATGATCCAAATCGGAGCCCTCTGCCCTCCAGCACTGCAAAACCTTAAAGAACCTTCTAGACCACCCCTTTTGACGCCTTCAACCCCCTTGCTTTTTCGCAAAAAGGGATCTCACCATCCCAATCCATTCAACCACTTCCTGGGACCTCGGGTCGAAAACTGATGGCTCTGAGTGCTGCACTGCATCGCCTGGGTGACCACGATCTGTTCATCTAAGACGGCCATAACCTCACGATCAACATGAGGAGGCAAACCCCGATTCCACATGAAGTGCAAATCTCCAAACGACTCTCTACCCAACTCGAGTGAGAGATCTTTTAGTGCTGATCACTCTACTCTCGTCCGAACCCCTCGGCCAAACAAAAATGAAACATGATTGAAAGGCTTTGCTTGACGGAAAGTACAAGGACTTCTTCCAAGCAAAGCCGCTGTGACAAATCCAGTCCTCTGCAATGACTTCCAAGGATTTGACCAGCCCATCAAACATCTATGTTGTAACTTATCATCAACTAATATCCCTATGTCCGGCCTCGTCAGCACCTTTGAGGATGTACGTGCCCTTGGTGACATGGCGCTGTAACGCATCAAATTGATGGTCAAACACATAACTAGTGCTACTGCTACAGCAGTGCATGCTACTAGATGCCAACTGATGGCACCATTTCTACCATGGAGAAGGATCGCACAATGTCACGCACACAAACACAAACAATATATACAAGAATTGCTTCGAGAGAATATCCACAGGAAACTCGCATTGGGGTTGAGAACCATGGGTTCCTGTAGATTTTCCCCTGAACATTCCAAAGCCAGTTCATCGTCGGGAATTGAACTACTGGTGTACGTCTCCAGCTGGCAGCCGCCTGCCTACGGGCAACTCTTGCAAAGTGCCGGCCAGGTCTAGCCGAGTCCAACCCCACCAGCAGGCACGAGAAAACCAACATCTTCCTTCAAGCTCTACTGGGCCTTGGGGTGCTTCCACACATGAGACGAGTAATTCATCTTCCGCTTGTCCTGGTTTGGTCGTTGGGTCCGACATGGCGGAAACTCGGAGAACTCCGAACATTGCCGGGTCGATGTTCCAAAAGGGTCGATGTTCTTCTTGGGTATATCCCAAACACCCAGTCTTCGGATGATGACGTCTAGCAGCGACTCGGCCATTCTCAAACACATATATATATATATATAGTGATCATCTGTTCTTTTCCGACTGGTACTGATAGTCGGCCCCACCGCCACACCCTCATGACCTACGAAAATTTCTTTGTCCGAGCTGCCGTTGTCCGGTAAGGCTCGCTGCAGTCGAAGAAGACCTTGTCCCAGGCAGCCTGGCAGGTCATCAGCGCGAACGGTGGAAGAACACCACTGGAGTGGTCACACACCGGGAGTGGTCATCAACGCGAATAGTGGTGTTCCCACTGGAGTGAGTGGTCACGCACCTTGATTTTTACATACCTAGAACCCAGGTAGACCTCTGTTTTTAATAAGAAAAGACAACGTTTTGGCTCCTAAACAGGGGCCAAGCAGGTTCTGTAGGTATTATATATATAACACTTGGGTACATTTGATTTGGGGATCTTACAAGACAAAATAAATAAAGCAAATATATAGATCGATGGAAGCATACCAGTAGATATGGATAGGACAGCCCCACCAATACAAACCAAATGTATAGTGGATTGAGAGTAAATGACCGCAAATGGTGGTTCATCTGGACCCCACTATGGACCCCATCTAAAAAAGCATCTTGGGGGTTGTGCCATCTACTCTGGAATCTCTTTGTGCAAACCAAATTGATTACAGCTTATAATCGGGTTCAAGGTGCTCTTCCCAGCACGATAGGCCACTCTTTGCCCCCTTGAGTTGATGGTGCAAACTGCATGAGCCAAAAATGAAACAGTGTGATGGCCTGCATCGTCTTGAGCTGCGTCTCAATGTTTCTCTCCTGGTGCGACATGGCACAGGGACATTGGACCTTGTGGCTCCGCTCCGCCTTCCACGTCCACAAACGGCCTGATTCTCCGAACCGGCATGAAACGGCTAATGCATTGTCATTTACAGTGGTTTGAGAGTAAATGGCACGTTTCCCCAATGACGTCCTTCAGATAGGGCTCCATAATTGCACCACCCCTTCGGGTCTGTGCCATCTACTCTCAATCTGTGCCAAATGGTCGGTGAACAAACACCAGCAACGAGTGTCCAGTAGTGAAGATCATGATCGCACAAGACTCACGAGGCGACTCACATGACAAGTGCAGGGATGATCTGGGAGTTCTCTTACTCCTTACTCCCTATTCTTCCGAACTCCCGAAAGCCTCTTAGCACTGCTAGAAGTCCTTTTCCCAGGCCCACACACACACCAAAAGAAAAACAACACCGCAACAAGCTCACGGTTCTTCACTTCTCCCATCTTCTCCCATAGACCCCCCTTTCCACAGTGCCAAAACCACCCCAAACTCACCCTGGAACCCCAAACCCACCCCCCCTGCGGATCAGGCGGAAACTCCGTACGTCCTTGCCGGCCCGGTCGCCGATGTCCGCGATGGCTGCAGCATGAGGCACCAAGCCGAGCCTGGGTGCTGCGACGCTGCAAGGACACCGACTCACCGAGCTCACGGCGCTCACGTGGAGGAGGGGGTCGTCCACCGACCTGTTTCGTCATGAGGAAAACCCCGCAGGTACTGACTGTGCGGTTAATGTTACTTGTTCTGCCACTGGCTTTGTGCTGGAGGAGGCAGCGTGGCCTGCGGTTTGGGGTTTCCCTTGAGGCACCCCAGAACACCCCGCAGTTGGAGGGTACCCCTTCTCAGAAGGTACGACTGGACCCTCCAAACATAACAGCATCTCCAAGCACCATGTGGATCCCTGGCGATTGTTTCGCACCATGTATGTACGGTTACCTGAAGCATGCCGTCTTACTCCCGCAGTACGCGGGATCGCCTCAAAATGGCAGGTCGGAGGAAGGATACCCAGTCTCCCATCACCAACTTCTTCAGCAATTGAATCCTTACAGTAAAGAGTCGACTACAACATCTTCTCTTACTGTTCTGTTCTCATAGCATGCACTGGCATCGGCCGCGCGACCGACGGTTTCTGTTACGTTTCGTTCCGTGGACAGCGACGACCCCAGTGCAGTTCCCGGCTCAATGAAGTTCTCCAAGGTGAAATTCTGGAGGAACGGTGGGAGTTCGTCCAAGTGCGACGGCAACAAGCATCAAAGAACATGAAATATCACTGATACCTGGACCACCCGATCCCAAATCACTGCGACATGTCGGGTTGCCCAGGAGCAAGTGCCATGGACAAAAATGATCGGCATTTAGGAAAGCTAATGGAAACATGACTATATGCATACATATGCTACGACGGGGCGTCCCCGGAGAGGTAGACTTGGACCACCGAGGATGCACTGGGAAATATAGTGTTTCTGCCGAGACGAGGATTGGGCTTCAAAAGCCAGCCTGGTTAAGCTGAAACTTTTGTGAGGTGGTTGAACATGCTGCACATTTCTAGTCCGCAAACTTCCGCCATATTCCCGCAAATGTCATAAGAGAGCAGTTGGTCAAATGTTGCACGTTGCAGCGCATTCATTCAAGTGACCCCTGCATCAAAAGTTGGAATCCAAAAAATGAACTGGAGCGTTCTTTGTTTCTTTTTGTAGGGTTTGATGTATTCTGCACCCGTTTTTGCGTCTTGCACCAGGTGCAGGTCAATTTCCCCGCAAAGCACAGGACAAGCAAAAACACACACACACACACACATTACTCACATTACAGATTGATGTGTTTGGCATGACAGCTCCAAAAGGCATGTTCTTTTTTACAGTGGTTTCAGAGTAGATGGCACAAACCGCTACATGTCCTTTAGATCATGGGGGTTGATATAAACCACCTCTTGGGGATTGCGCCATCTACTCTGAACCCACTGTAATATAACCTGTACAGCCTATGGCATTGTTTGCATACAAAGATTGCTCCAGGTATATGGATCAATTTGTTTGTGGACTAGATTCTAGACTGCAAACAAAGAAACCCTCCTTGCAGGATTTGACATGACGTGATTGATCTGTGCAAACCTCTGGACACCCAAAACACATCTCAAAACAGGCTGTCCGCTGAGTGACACACATCCTCGAACCTGAAACTTGTTTCAGAATCAACTTCTTCCAAAGGACCACAACCCACTACCCTGCAGCGCAGTGCCCAGCCGCCCCAGCTCCGCCGCGGCGCCTCCATCGTGGGTTGCACGGGCGTCCCGATCAGATTCGACACTTGTTCCCAGTGCCGATCGGCCATGCCCGGATTCCTCGGGCTGGTTGCGGAGCTTGCCCGGATGCACGGCTTCAACGAGGATGTGAGAAGCCAATGTCCCAAACACTCCATGGGACTGCCATATAGCCCCATTGACCCCCCAAACCAGGCCAATTATGGCATACATGGAGTGTCTGGGTGTGTTGCCTAACTGATTGAGCACAATTTGCAGCGCCCCGTGAGTGGTTGGAGGCCGGCCACTGCTTTCAAGGTGCCAGGCCATCACTTGTAGGTTAATGGTCGAAAAATTCAAGAACCCCCAAGATCCCAGTACTTCGGCTTGGGAACCAGCGCTTCCTGGTCGGTTGTATCTCGCGCCCCCCCGCGCCGGCGAGACCCTTAGAGCAAAACAACGCGCCAAGCACGTCAGCGGTCTGGGTGTCCCAAGCCGCAGTCCCACCACCAAGGGCACTTTGGGAACAAAGTCATCAATTTGCTCCTGAAGCGCTGACGCGTTGGCAGCTCAACACCATTCTATTGGCGGCAGCGCCGGCGTCGAACCGCATGCCATGGTGCCTCACAAAAAATCGTCCAGCGTAGCTCTCAAATGTACACGGTGCCAAGAAAACTGCAAGGTACTGTTTTAAGAAACATTTTGCCTTTGCAGTTAAACAACATAAAACCTGGACTTGTCCTGCTAAAAAAAATCCAGTGACTTCTTAGGCTTGCTGTCATGATGTGTCCAACACGTCCCAGTTGGGGTGCCTCTTGGATACCAAACAAATCATGAACATCCAACGTTGGACGATCACAATCGTCGAAGCCTGGAAATTGGTCACCAACTTGTATTTGGCGACAGAACCGGGAAAACAAAAAAAAAACAAATCCTCCCTGGACCGGGATTCACATGGATTCAACCATAGGGAAAACATACTGTGTACGGAAATCAGCAATCACATGTATATTTAATCACACGAAGCAAAACCAAGGAGAGGCACAACGTTCGTCACACGGCACACCATCTTGATGCGTCACCTTGATGTTCTTTGCAATCTGCAGCACCTGCCGCGAGATCGGGGACAATGTTCCTAACAGATCTTGGGCAAGACTGCCTGGTTTGACTGTCGCACCCAATCAGAATCATGATGATTCCATCCCACCAGACCAGATACAGTAAGCGTTTGAGTTCAAGGAACACTAGGGCTAAGGCTGGGCCATCTAACACTGGAGGCTCCGTCACTTACAGGGCCCGTCACAAAAAATAAGTGAGACGGGCCCTGAAGTTCTTCCACCCTTACAGGGCCAAACTGCGTGTTGGATTAACCTCAAGTATAGACCTGAAGATGCCTGGTCCCATATTGGGATGCACCAGGACTTCAAATAGGAAATTGCCCATCACCCGTTCTTGAGACATCCGCTGCATGACACCGCTGCATTTCTCCAAACCAACTCGCCTCATCACAGTTCTCGCGCTTCTCAAAAGCTTTGACCGCCTTGTAGAGTGTCTTGGCGCCCGCCTCACGTGTTGTGTAAGCCAGCGGTGTTTTGACCTTACTCAATCCAATATCATCCTGTGGCTGTGGTCGTGCAACCGCAACGCTTCTTTGCACATGCACCATACCATGTTCAACATGTTGGAATACTCACTGCCACCAATCAGGCAATGGACATGATGCTGAGAAGTCAGGCTAATATGCTGTAGCTTGGCAACTTGGTGTTTTCCAGGTAAAGGATGACTATGCTAAAATAAATGCTGCCTCTCGTCCAAAGAACATACCAAACTTCCAGTTTGTCTATCCATCTTTCCATCTCAACGCAAATGATCAAGATCCCCAAATCCAGCAAAACATCCCCTCATACTGTGGAAACTGATGGTGGTCGACAGCTGTCTTCCCAGAATTCTTAAGCCTCAAACTGGCCACCTTTCGGTTCTGCTAGCAGAAAATTAGTCAGAAAATTCACTTTAGTTACCATAGGATACCATAATTAGGCACCAGCTGTGCATATGTCAGACCTGATCCGTCAAATATGGCAAAATGGTAAAAACATCTGTACCACTTTGGGTGGGACTGGGACGCGTCGAATCTACCTTTACAATAGTATACCAGGACGACCGACCGCGGAGTTGGTGATGGAGCCCCTTGCTGAGGTCACTGTGTTACCGTATCTGAAGTGAAAGTTCTCCTTGTAAAGACTCAAAGATCAATGGCGCATGCGCTGCTCGTAAAGCCGTGCACGATGTGCCGCAAGACTTGGGATCCGTTGCTCAGGGATAAGGTCGACTCAAAGATCATTACCCAAACCAACTCGCGATACGATCCACGGTTCGCACCTCAGGGCCCCAAACCGCAGCGGGGTACCAGACGAAACATGTCCCCACTGGCCCCCTATGGGTTTTCACACGCTCCGGACGGGAATCTATGCCGACATTGACCCCTAACACCCCCCTCCCAATGTATGCGAATGGTCCGGTCCCATGGAGCGTCTGGGTCTTTCATCAGATGCCAATGTGGGGTGCCATGGCGCCAAACCATGAACTCTATGAACTCTCGCAGTCCTGGTGAGTGAAACGCCTAGGCTTCGCTCATCGCTCCACTCTCCCTGAGGCATCTGCCGTGACGCTGCTCTCGCAGAACTTGGCATCCACTTGCTGAAAAGGTCCACTCCTCAGCCAAACATCTCCAGATTTCTGTCTGCAAAAACCGACTTCTGGGGAGAAACATCCAGTCCCTTCCAGTCCACTTCAACTTAAAGGGTTCACATACATTCACCCCCCCATCCAAATAACATCAAATAACGAACTGTTGTGGGCCCACAATGTGGCTGCATTGGGGTTTCCATGCGTCCCTTCCCACCAAAAAGAAGCGGATCATGCTACTGCTACCCCCTCAGGCTCCGGACAGCCACTTCTTGGAATCCTTGGTCCAGTTGAAGGCTGTGACCTCAGTTGAAGGTTGTGCGTCGCGGAATCTGTGCGTCGCGGAGTATCCAGTATCGCGGCAGTCAAGAACATCACGCAGAAAATGGGCTTAACATGGCTGACTTGGGCAGCCATGACCTGCATGTAGCCAGCGAGCAAAATGGATGTGTTATGATGTGTTATGCTGAAACATTGACCACAGAATCGTAGTGACACAGCATCACCAACCCCAGGAAACATCATGTAAACAAACTCATTCCCCATCCATGGACTTTGAGCACATGTTTGCAACCGCTCAAACGGCCAGGTTTCTTTTTAACTTACAGCGTCCGTTTCACTGAAAAAGCCTCGCACCAGCGAGAAGCTCGTGCTGTTTGAAGAATCCAGGTACAGGTAGAGTGAGCAGTTGTTGAGCAGTTGGTCCAGGTTTTGGTTCGTGCTCCCATCCACCAACCCCGACCCGGACGACCCCACCCGCGCGCATCGTGGCGCGCGGTGCGGTTCCGCACATCCCAAGGCTCCAGGCCCATAGCTGAGTGAAGGGCTCCCACCTTGGTGTGGCGGGCTGATCCTGGTCAGTCAGCTGAGTCAGCTGGTCATGTACACCCATAGACCCGGGACTTGAAAATCAAAGAGGTCTGGTTGGTGGAGGAAGCTGGTCACTAGTCTTCCCAAAGGTCCCATGTTCATGTGGATTTCACATCATTCAACAAACTTCCGGTCCCAAAGGCCCTCTGCCAACTTCTGAGGCCGTCGAGACCGGAGACCGTCTGCCTCCCCAGACCGTCCCAACTGGCAACGGTCCGGTGGACGACCCTCCTTCTTCCGTCGGATCGATGTGTCGGAGGAAGGAGGGGACCGACGAGGTCGGCACAGGCGCGATGGTCTCACTGCGCCTGCACCCCCGGTCTTTGACGGTGACGTAACACCAAAAGCGGCTGGAATTCCGCGGTCGTCCTGCAGAGGTCTGCAGGAGGGTAAGCAAATTGTACCAAAAGAATGCAACATGAGCTTTCCAATGTTGTCCCCAGTGCATCGCGCACTAGGTCTCTCCGACTCTTTGGTGAGCTGCGCGATCATGCCATAGTCTGTGACCTGTCGTTCCGGCCGGTCCAGGGGAGGTTTGAAAAGCCAAGGACATTGGGCTTGAACAAGCCGGTGGATGACATGGGAGTTTGGGGAGACTGGTGACTGGTGGGCGACGCTAGGTCAATTGCAAGGTCACTAGTGTGGAGCCACTCCCCATAAGGCCCAGGATCTAGCAAACATGCAACATTGATTTTATTATAAAGGAGCTGGACTAAGTCTTTGTCGATTCCATCACTGTGCCAAATCTCCAAATGGATTTTCACATGATGATGCATATACCTGGACCTTCAAGGGGTGTCCAATGGAGGTCCCTTAGTAGTGTAGGGGCTTCCAGCCAGGTGACCCCGACATGAAGGTGCATAGTCATCACAGTGATGCGATCTTGTTTGCTGGTTTCAGGGGGATTCATCAAGCGCAGCTCCATGCAATCGATGGTGGCACCGAGCGCACCTCCTTTCCAAAAAGCGCTTCGCGCGAGTTGAAGAGCTTCGCTTGGGATGCTGCCTGAAATGCAGCTCTCGGGGTGATACTACGACCGCGGGGGCCGCTGGGATGCACTGGGATGTACATGGCGTTTGGTCTAAGATCATTTCAGGCGGTTGGCTCATGTTGGCTCTACAACGGTGCACAACTGCCAAGGCCCTTTTTTTCAATGCATTCGGTTGCGGTGCAAACCCCAACAGTTATATAGAGTCGATTCTAAGACCTTCCTCTCATACTCCAGTGCCATGCACAATTGCACATTAATATAGTGTACATATGAATGCTTCTTAAATACCAGTTGTCACCCCAAACACTGTTCTTTCACCTCTCATCATCGGCTCATGTTTGAACGATATTGAATGGGTCAGTCTTTAGAGGGCTCCCGGAGCTCATGTCCAGTTCACCCTGCAACGACTTGTCTTGCGCTCATCCGCTGCGCTCACTGCGACCGCCACGAAAGCGCAAGCGATTCAACACGTGACCGAGTGGCGGATTTCAAGCGCTCGTTGACACTCTCCACGTTCTCGTGGATCTCTTCCAGCTTCTCAAAGTCCTTGCTCTTTTCGCTCGTTCGCCGGCCGGCCGTGCGGCGGAAAGATCCGATGTGTTTCGCGCGACTGGCCGGTGGAAAGTTAGAGGTAGAAGTTCCTCCGTTGGACCAAGTGTAGACATGTGCACCCTGAAAGTCAAAGACCGTTTAAAACATGGCTGACCTGGTTTTGTAGTGTAAAACCCCTTATAAGTACAGTACAACCATGGTTGTTCGGTAAAGGTGAAGGCTATTAATAAATGGTGGTTTGACTTCTAGGGTGTAGTATGCACCAGCACACCTCCCTTTCCAGGCGTCCAAACACAAAAGAAGTCACGGTTTGAGGAGGTGGCCTGGGACTATGGTGCTTCAAGTTTGGTTTTGGGAAGGGGATCCTTTTTGAAGGTCCAGGACCAGGAATAGTTTCTTTCGGTATTACTTTTCTTCTTCTTACTTCTTCTTCTTCCTTTTGTGTCTAAAGGTAGACAAAACGAACAAGCAGCTGGGCTGCCTTAGCCGCCTAGTCTGTTCAAACATGCTTTAAAAGTCTCTGAATGAGTCTCGATCGATTTAGCAACTGTCCCGTGTCCATCCACTTGAAGCTCCACGCACTTCTGCGCCCACCAATTCTGCTCGTGCCGCTGGCAACGAGCGACCTCCGACCCAACAAACGCCCAGTCGCCGAATATTGAGAGAAATTCTCGATGGTCTTGGCCTCAAGACGTGCGGCCGATGGCTATCCGGCCCGGCCCTGCTCATTCAAAGACTCGGGATACCCGGCATACCCCTATGCAAAACCCATGCAGTACAAACCAAGACCATTCCGACATATGCCCTTAATAGTCACATATCTTGGTTCCGAAGTGGCATAGATATGCAGCAGATTGCAGCAGATTCCTTGCACAGCACAGCTTCTAGCGAACCTAATTCAAGCCTGTCCCCAAGCAGCGACTGGTTAGGCGACTGGAGGACATCAAGGAACCCACATGGACCCCCACCACCACACACTTGGACCACATGCACATCCCACAGCAAACCACTTCGCTCTTTCATCTGCCCACTTCGGTCGGCCCGAACCAACCCTCGTTCGGCCCCACAGCCGCCTCACCCGAGTCGGTCCGCGGTCCCATCCGTGGCTCCCCGGCCATGTCCACGATGCTCTCATCGAAGTCGGCCTGCTCTTGCATCTGGGCCGCTTCGAACTGCGCCTTGGAGGATGGAGACAGGGGAGACAGGGGGAAGCCAACCGCCTGGCCTGGATGGCGTTTTTGATCGTCTGATGCGTCTGGGAATTCCAAACACATTCCGAGCACCAAGCGACCAAAATCCCACTGGTTGGGTGGTCCATGCCAGTAACAGTGGATGATGATGGTGAATAAAGGCCTTATCAAAAAAGAGTGATAGTGATACTTCTTTACCGTGCGCTTGAGAAAACTCAAACCGCACATTCATCGACGTTGAATCCGAGAGGGCAAGGTTTCTCCTTTGAGTCCTTAACTGAAAGTATCGCCGAACATTTGCAAAGCGCACCTTCCATCCCTAGGGCTCCAACCACCTCCGTTTCGAAGATGGTTGAAGGTGGGTGCCAGGGGGGGTCTGACCACCTTCTGAGATGGTTGGAGCCCTAGGGCATAAACACATCATCCTCGAGAACCTAATGTCAACTTGTTTGGACACGTTTGACCAAAACCTTGACATTGTAAAGAGAAACAGTGAACAAAGTATACCTTGCAATTGTTTAAGCAAAAAGTTTGACCATGGTATTAATTTGTTCATCTAGTGTTTTCCCTCTGTTTTCCTCCCCACGTTCCAAGTTCCATCTGCAATGCATGTCCGGCTCTTTTTTTGGGGACCGTTCGTCTAAACGGCCACCGGCCTCCAACTCTTTGATGTCATCCTCCACCTTGGACACCAGGTCGTACGTGGACTTGGGACATCCGAAGACCCGCCAGCCTCGGAGCGGATCCGGCACGACGTGGCACAACCGAGCCATTGACTCAACACGTGGAACAGACCATGGCTGCATGCTGCTTGCATTTTTATTCTGGCTAACTCATTTGTCTGGCTGGGTCCGGAAACGGAATCACCAGTGAATAGTGATGAACAGTGACTATATAAGTGACTAGTGATGGAGATTCTAGACCACCTCACCAAAACTTGGTACCCTCTCATGGAAGCTATAGGGATCGGTGCAAAACAAGAAAAAAGACTGGAACATTTTGACTCATTCGATCCACATTTGATGCCAGAACTCTCCTTTCCAGGATCCGGATCGGACCGGGCGCCGCGCGTTGGTAGAAGTCGTCGGCGGTGAGTTGCACTCCAAACTCCTCCAGAACCATATAGGTATCCAAGCACCTAGCGGTCATTCAACTCGCGAACCGACAGGGAGGCGGGCGCCCCGACAGGTGAAATAGGCAAAAAAGCTCGCCGCGGGCCGCGGGCCAAAGCAAGCTGGGCTTCTTTTTAGCGATGCATTACTTGGAAACAAAGAAACGAGCATCATCAAAAGCAAAGCAACAAAAACCGGAGAGTGCTGGGAGATCAAATCCTCCAGTTGGAAAGGGCCCCGCTATCTCCAATAATTAGAGAGCTCGACGTTATGCGGGTGTGGTTTTTACGCGTTTTTGTTGTGTTTTTCTTAGATTTTGTCATGTTTTGAAAGAGTTTCCACGGTTGCGGTCTAGATATGTTCTTGTGCTCCTGTTTCCCAAACAAACCAACTTTTATTTGTTTAAAGCAACCTCTGGATCCGACTCTACCCTTCCTTGCCCATAAGCATTCTCATTGTTGCAAAGGTAGCACTTTTTGGGCTTCTCCCTCCACATTCTTTATGAAATGGAGAGAAGATCATTATTTTG